TAAATATTTTGATTGTTTTCTAATATAAAGTATAGATCATAACTAATGAACTCTAGTCATCTTCCATAAATATTCAAATCATGATAAATGAATTCTCATCATTTCCATAAATATCTCAATTGACTGAGTTGCATTGGTTGTACAAATTGACATGGTTCCATTTGAAATATACCCTGTATATATATACACACACACATGTAGATTTAGGATTATATGAGACTCGGCTTGTTTTCATGAGACTATATTTTATCACTTGAAACTTTACAGTAAAACATTGTGAAGGTAACTTTCACAGTGTTTTTCACAGTGAATGTTTGAAGTTTTTTTTACCTTCACAATGTTTTGCTGTGAAGTTTCAAATATAAAAATGTAGTCTCACGAAAACAGGTTGGTCTCGTGTCAACCAAATCCTATGTGTGTGTGTGTGTATAATCATATAACTTTTATAAAATTGAATATCAAGTCAGGGTGGGTCCCGATGAGAAGACTTAATGTGAGAAGCATAAGAATGAGATGAGATGCACCGAGATAAGATGCATTAGATCAATTGAATATCTCCACCATTGGATGCATATTAGAATGAGATGCACCGAGATAAGATGCATCAGATCAATTCGCATATCAAACGCTATTCATTAGTGGATTTGAGATTAAAGGTGATCAAATGTCCAGATCTCTTCTTACGTTTCTCACATTAACTCTCATTCTCACACGGTTCTTTGTCTGTCTATCAAGTCATTTGTCATGTAATTATACGCTTCCATTTAGGTCGTTAGAGTATTTCCAATATGTAAAAAATACTTGTTTAACGCTTAGTAGGTAAAAAATACTCACAATCAATTAATTTTTCACAGCCAAAAATGTTATCTAACATGGTAAAAGATGGTGGCGGCCCTTGCTGGTAAGCGCTTGCGCGACAAACATTTGGTAAACGACTTCTTAATCTTTGTTTTCAATTTCACACACGTGGTCGTATTTGTTTTAGAATTTGGATCATTGATTGAACTGAAACAAGCAAAGCTTGTCAACAAATATTTTTGGCAAAAACATATCTCTTTTCATCTGAATATAACACGTTTCAGTTCGAACTGAAGATAAAGGAATTTTTCATTCGCCTTAGATTTTGCTTGGATGATCCACAGATTAAGCTCACGGACTGACAAATTCGAAAGCAGTTAGTAATCTTTCATAAATTATAATTAGTATGTCCAGTTATATTTATTCAAATTTAACATCCTGCCACATAAGACAGGCACACAACTAGTTAATAAATAAAAATAAAAATTAATCATTACTAATATTAATAAATATTAATCAACAGTAATTAATAATAGTTAAGAATTATTAAATACATTCTACATTAATTTTAATTATTTATAATTATTATTAATCATATCAGTTATTTTT